ATCGGTGGGCGTGGACATCCAGGATTTTTTTTTACATTGGCTTATCTAGCTCCCAGACTTACGTTCTTAAAACTCCATGGTTCTTGAGTCTGGAGTGCTGAATGGTATCACATGGCAACCGATGAAAACTGGTGTGCAAATAAATAGATGTTTTCATCGGATGATGTCACTCCAACCCGATCTATGAAACATATGGGAAAAGTATCTGTGTCAAATAATGCACAACTTCTTCAACATGAATCAGGGTTTATTACGTACATTTTTTGTACACATACTGTGTGAACACTCAGAGAATTAAATGCTTCAATTCGTTTTGTACTTACCCATAAACAGCCCGCATTTGGATGCCTTTTCCTCACAGTACAATTATCAAGATTGCTACAGTGTCCTCTACAGCACACACAAAGAAGGATCAAATGTAATGTGATCAAGCTACATGAGTCGTTTGTCGACCCTGGTCAAAAATTTTTTTATTACAGATTTGAAAAAAGTACAACCTCGGCATTACTGCTGTGAAAACTGCATGCTGATACCATCTTTAGTTCAAAAATTATGGAAGTCGGAACACGAAACGATGTGATGAAGTGATGCGATGAAGTGGCCCTAGTTTGTCCTGTATCTCCAAATTAAAATTTCCGACAAATGACTCATTTAGCTTGATCGCATCACAAATGTTCAATTTTACATCTAAACTCAAGGCAGCATTTAAAATAGATCCTATAAGAACCCTCCCCCCCCCCCCACATCAAGGGAACTAGGATTCAAATTACTACGTTTGCAAAATCTCAAAAATGTATCGAACACCCCCCCCCTCCCCCGGGTCATGTAAACAGAGACGAACATGCGACACAAATTAATCTACACAGTTTCTATCATGAAAAGCACCACATAATTAATGTCTGTTGGTGTCCAATGGGAAACGGTTTCAAATTTTCCCCCTCCCCTTTCTTGTAAAGGCATTCTACTATTGCTCCTCCCCTTTTTAGTAACCAGATCTGACCCTAATCCAAGGAAGAACCTTCAATTCCTTATTCAAATGTAAATTCACAAATAACTTGTATCTAAATATCAGAGATCCTTGACAAAATAACATCAATCCAATACATTGTAGGTACGGTTTGGAAAGCGCTTTAAGAATATATGCAAGTGCGCCAAAATGGTGGCATTCTAATAGTACTTTTTACCCAAAAAGTGCTGTGGACTGCCTTGGATTCGTGGTCTGGGGCACTGAATTCGTGGTCTGCGGGTAATTCTGCAGGTTGTGGGTTCGAGTCCAGCCTGGGGTCACGGTGCGTGTGCCCTTGAGGGAGGCACTTTGTCACTCATTGCTTCTCCCCACCCAGGAGTAAATGGGTACCTGTGAGGGCAGAGATGGTTGTGATTGATTTTAGCTGCTTTGCGCCGAAATGGCAGCATGGAGCTGTATACTCCCCAGGGAGCTGAGATTGTCTTCGGAATGTTTCATTGGCCCAATGTGCAGGGTAATACTAATAATGATGTAGCGCCTTGAGCACCAATACTGGTGGATACAAATACACATTATCATATTATTATTAACAGAAAATTTAACCTTTCCCCTGTTCATTTCAATGAAAACTGATGTGTCTCGAAAATAAGGAAATGTTACACACAAAGGCAATTTATCAAGTCAAACTGCAGAGTACAAGAATGATTTTAAGATGGAACTCACCACAAGAGGGCGCTATTGCAAAATACTGGTCCTCCTTTGTTGACTGCAGGCTTCAAAGGTTCCATCCAAAGGTTACACATGATGTCACACAGATAAATAACTAGGCATAAAACTCAAGGATTTCTGCATTCGTGAATAAAATCTATGTTTATTGCAAACTTTAGACAAAAAAGTTAGGTAAAACAAATGTCACCAGAAATTCCATGGGAACTTTTCCTACATTGTAATTCACAAAGCTGCTAAGAGACTCATGTTACGCCCCAACTATCGCATTGGTCCCAACTATAGTTGGGCCTGTCCCAACTATAGTTGGGCCTGTCCCAACTGTAGTTCCACAGTTGGGCTGGCCCAACTATAGTTGGGCCTGTCACAACTATAGTTGGGACGGTCCCAACTGTAAGTTCCACTGTCTGACTGTTGGGATGGCCCATCTATAGTTGGGCCACTCCAATCCTTTTATTTTGCAGTGTCCCAATTATAGTTTACATTGATGTACAACTATAAAACGTTCCCTACAGCTCTGATACACGTCTGACTTTACTGGGGACCACTGAAATTAGCTATTGATGGGCATGATGGGGCCAATCTATAGTTGGGCCACCCCAATCTTTTATTTTGCGGTCCCAACTATAGTGTACATTGTTGTACGATTATAAAACATTCCCTACAACTCTAATACACATCTGACTTTACTAGGGACCAATGAAATTATCTATGGGTGGGGACCATCTGTAGTTGGTCCACCGCAATATTTTTATTTGGCGGTCCCAACTATAGTTTACATTGATGTACGACTATAAAACATTCCCTACAGCTCTGTTACCTGTCCGACTTTACTTGGGACCTTTGACATTAGCTATGGGTGGGGCCCATCTATAGTTGGCCGGCCATGGCAATCTTTGAATTTTGCAAAATGTTGCTGGATAATAAAACCCAGCAGCTGGACAACTCATCCAACTAGGCAGTACCACATGACCGGCCAGCCTTGCCATGCTTGCGGCATGCATGCACGACGAATACACGGTGCCAGCGCCGCGGAACATTTAATCCAACAAGATCTATCAAGCATGAAGCGTCCAGCGCAACTCCAGTCCTAACTATAGTTGGGCCGACCCAACTGCCGCACTATAGTTGGGACATTCCCAACTATAGTTGGGACCGATGCGATAGTTGGGCCGTTACACTCACACTGGCTTAGCACAATGGCTACCAGCCTTTTTTTTCAATTCATACATTTGCAATTTTTTTCCAACAAAGTTGTACAGCTATTTAGAAAGGGTAACAGCTCCTTTGGATACAATTTTGTATCAAAAAAGGATTTGAGAAAATAGAAGAACCCATCCGCCATCTTGGAAAATCCTAGCCTGAATATCAGACACACACGTGCGCAGAGCCATTGTCCAACGTCTGATACAGATATAACTAAGGCCAAAAAAAAAAAAAGATACCAGTTGATCATTCTCGCCTGCATCATTTTTTGAAGCTGCATACTTTTATTTTTTATTGTTTTTCTCGCCTCGAAAAGCTACTTTTTCATGCATAAAACATGCATAAGTTGGGAGAAATACATAGTATCTATAGAACACTGTTTAGGGAATGTACATCATTTGCTTTTGCTGTAATTTTCAAAAATGGATGGAATTGGGGGGTTGGAAATATATAGCAAATATAGTTACACTGACTTTTTTGAGGTTTTGGGTTCGAAAATGCTATAAAAACCAAGAAAAACAATCATTTTCCTGTAGTCTGGTTCCCTGACTCCATATAAGAAGAAACAGAGCAATTACATACATTGGGGAATTGTATTTGTAAGGTCAGGGAACCAGTCTAGCTGGCTTGTATACCCGTTCATAGGCGATTGCAAACAAGTGCAATGGTCAATTGGGGCCAGTATTTGAAAAAAAGCCAGTGTTTTCCAACGCTGGTCGGCCGACCAGCGTTGGAAATTGATACAAAAATACCACTTTTCTTGAAAATGACAGTATACCAGGTGCCATGATTTTACAGGATGCTTTACACTGTCATTCACTAACAGTCCAGCAAGGTATTTCAAAATGATTTGGTAGTTTTATTTTTTGATGTTTGCAAATGTTGTATTTTCCCTTTAATGTAGGATACCATAGCTAACAAAAAGAGGTCATTTTCAACAGAAAAGATGGTGGCACCATATGGGTTTCCCTTTTTTTACTCACCCTGTATACTGTATCTGGACAAGTAAAAAAATAAACAAGTTTCTTGTGCCTGCCCGCTTCCTTTTTTCTTCCCATCTCTATTTTTTTTATTTTCTAAATCACACATTTGCAGTTTATTCTGCAAACATGCTGTCAAAATATAGACCAAGTCATTTAACTTGTTTCCAACAAATATGACAAAATTGTAGCCATGTAGAAAAGGCTATGGCTTAATTGGACACAATTTTGCATCAGCAAAATTGTCCACCACCATCTCGGAAAGTCCCCCTTTTAAAAGCCCGGATGAGAAACGTTGTTATTTTTTTATTTGGCCAAATATTTGTGTTTTTTTTTTACAAAACTGCACAGAGCAAGAATAAGCAAAAATATTACATACATATATACTTTGAAAACTTCACATTTTTTGAAATGCTTTTTTGGTGCCCTGAACAAATATTCCTACAACAGATCAAATCATTGCAATTGCACACAGTCAAGAACACAAATCATGCATAATTTTACAAGAAAGAACAGAAATATTGACAAAAGGCACAACATTTAGCCAATAACATTCAATTTAAAAAAGACAACAGATTTCCAACGGACCATTCGTGCTAAAAGTTTGACAGGAGTATTTTCTCGGTCACGTGGCCTTGAAAGGGGAAGGGGGAGGGGGCTTGACACCATTCCATCTTTCTATAGCATGCGCCATGCGCTGTTTTAAGCCCGGTTCATACTCCACGCGAATGCGAATGCGAAGCGAATTTGACGTCACGGCACGTTCGCTGCAAAATTCGCCCGAGTTGCAATGTGCTCAACTTTACGAATTCGCAGCGCGAATACTTGACACGACGTCACAAATTCGCGTTCGCTTTCGCGCCGAGTATGAACCAGGCTTAAAGCAGACAACCGTGAGCAATAGGACAATCAAACAATGGGTGCAGCTCTTCATCCAGGCACATCTGCAGATAGATGCACGATTTTGCCGACAACATCGATCTGGGGGGGGGGGGGGCGAGGTGTCTCACCCATGAATGTCAGACAAGTCGACCGTTGAGACAACTCGACTTGGGACAAGTCGACCATTGAGACAACTCGACCGTTGAGACAAGTCGACCGTTAAGACAACTCGACTCGGGACAACTCGACCGTTGAGACAGCTAACGTGCACGGCACGTGCACGGTACGGCCACGCGCACAGGCCCGGCAAAAACGAACAATGTGCATGCACGGACAATCACGCTGCGCTATATCGGCTCAGCTCTGCTCTATGCAACAAAACAAAGTCATGTGTCATAACTCCCAAACGGCGATCAGCCGCCGTCAAAATCCCCGGTACTATCCCCAAAACTAGGCCCAAAATCATGCGAGGCGACTTGTCTCAACGGTCGACTTGTCTTTCCATTTATCGCACATACGGTCGAGTGGTCTCAACGGTCGAGTTGTCTCAACAGTCGACTTGTCCCGAGTCGATTTGTCTCAACAGTCGACTTGTCTGACCCCCTCACCCATCCTCTAGCGATGGCTGTGTGCATCACACTGACTTCGACTCATTGTCAAGTCCACCGTTCCGTTCCTCAGAATCTTCCTCATCGTCGCCGTCTGTTGCATCTTCTTCCTCCTCTTCACTGCTGGCATTGGCTCCACCCTCATTTATGCTTGTACTTGTCGGTACAGACCCGAGCAGGATAAAATCGAGACCCTGAAGGAATTTAACAAGCCTCTGATCATCTTTCTCTCTGGAGATTAGCTTTAACATGTTTACTGGGTACGCCTGTTCATATTTTGGAAAGAATGTCGCATCCTGACGATACTTTTTTTCATCAAATTTTATCTCAATGGAGGTCGGTCATTACAAAAATGTTGAAAAGATGTGCATCTAGGACTGAGAAACATTTCCAATTTTGTTGGACTCTCAGAAGAAGTGGCATCTGGATACTACATTCTTTCCTTTATTTTAACCCTCAGCATACAAAAATTGGGGTCATGTTATGCAAAGGGAACAGGATAAACGATATAAGATTTGAGGCTTTGCATGGTGGGGTATCGGTATCGTTTCGGTTTGCGGTAACACCGTGTGGTAATAACTACTGCTTAGAAGATATTAGTTCTGAAAAGAACTTGTCCTGCTTATCATGCTTATTATCAACTTTGCTAAGTAGTTTTTGTTCTGATAAGAACAGTCCTGCTGTAAGTTCTAAACTAACTTGTCTTTGGTCTCCAAAGCCAAGTTCGCTTAGAACAAAAAACTACTTAGCAGAGTTGATAATAAGCAGGATAAGTTCTTTTGAGAACTAATATCATCTTCTAAGCTGTAGTTATTACCACATGGTGTTAACGCAAACCGAAACGATAGGATAAACAATATTAGCAGTTCACAGAACAAAATAAACCAGGTAGGTCTAATACTAGACCTGTAATTTCCATACCATGTAGCTACATAGCCACGTTCCGTTCATCTCTGGACTTTCGAAATGTTTCACGTATATGTACACGTTCATGTTGGGCTCAATTTTTGGCCTCGAAATTTCTTTGCAACATTTGACAGATCCTATACCAGGCACTGGAAGTTATCACAGTTTGTATGTTTATTTTTTGTTTAAGCGCCTTGAGGTGGATTTTTCTGCGATTGTCTGCGCTTTATAAATTTCTTTATTATTATTATTATTATTAAGTTCTGGGATAAGCTCTTATTGTAAGTACTGAACATACAGTTAAATTTCGCGACTGGGTTCCAACTGGGATTTTGAACACGTCAAAAGTCCAGACAATGTTATCCCTGGCTACGTATTAATTTATAGCCACGTTTACGGGTCTAGTCTAATACATCTACCAAATTCAGAGTTGTCACAAAAACGTTAGGCAAAAAAACAAAAAAAAAGTTCTGCTTCTGATTACCATGATCATGTACATGGCATTTGAAAGAAGGGTAGGTAGGTAGATAGGGAATGCAATTTTTTGTGAACAATCATATGGAGGTGTCTGCGTGTAGTCAAGGGTAAAACATAGAAATTGATGTTGTTGTTTTTCTTTTTTCTTCTAATTTTTCCCATAAAAAATTAGGGGTAGGGGCTGTCAGAATAGGGTAGGTAGGGAAACCGGAAGCAGAACTATTTTTGGGGGCCTAACATAGGGCCTATACATCATGTAAATGTACCAAAAGTCCTAAATTCAGACTGTGTAAACAAAAGCATTATTTGACAACCAATTTAAAATAAATGTTTGGAATAAGAAACAAAACATTAGTTTACCTTCCAGTGGTTGGGTCTGTTTTTCAAGGGATTTGTCCTCAAGTCCAGTTTAGTAAGCCGAGACAAACCTAGCAGGCGATCATCGGGGAGCTCGGTGATCTGATTTCCTTGAAGAATCAACGATGAGAGTTTCGGCAGTTCTGTAATAGATTGCGAAACCTCGCTGAAATTGTTCTCGCTCAGGTCGCAGAACGCCAGCTCCGCGAGCCGGCCAAAGTGGGCGGGAAGATCCCTGAGATTGTTCTTCGCTAGGCTCAACCATCTTAATCGCCGGAGTTGGCAGAACTCGTTGGGCAGGGACGTTATAACATTATCCCGAGCTCCGAGTTTCTCCAACGCGCCCAGCAACCCAATCGAGGTCGGTAGGGATACCAACTGCGTCCCCACGACCCAGAGCTGTTGCAAGTTCCGCAGGTCGCCGATTTCTGCCGGCAGGCAACCTAACTGATTATGGCTAAGACTAAGATATGTTAAATTGGTCAGACGGCCGAAACCGGACGGCAAAAGCGTCAACTTGTTCTCGTCCAGAATCAACTCTTCCAGGTTTTCCAATGCCACCAGCTCCGACGGGGGCATGATGAGGTTGTTGTTGTTCAGCAAGAGTCTCCGAACATGGGTCAACCTCTGGGCACTTGCTGGAAGTATGGATATGCCCCTGTGGCTCAAATTTAACACCCTCTGCTGGCTAGCAACGGCCTCGCAAACCGCCTTCTCCACATCTTCGACAATGTTTCCATGGTTTCCAACATGTCCAACTTGTCCCAACGATTCGTGCGGCTCTTTCGACATGTTTAAAAAAAACACAGTAGTAGTCCTATCTTCCTATCCACTGGACAAATACTGTGTTAATGTTGCAAACATGCTGTTACCTTTTACAGTCTTTACTTCTAAAAAAAGGATTCCAGCTTCAACAAAAACTCCCTTGCGAAGTTCTACCGCTGCCGTGCTTTGTACATTTCTAAAAATGGCGGCGACAGTGACAGACTAATGGTGGCGCTATTTCAATTCACCGTGAGTAAACTCGCTTTTGGTGGCGCGGCCAGCAACTTGCAGAAAGTATACATATGTTGGCCCACTGCACTGTGTAGTGAGGTGGGAGCATTCACAAAATAATGAGTTTTAAAATCAAACTTCAAGACCTTTTTAATGGGAAAATGGGGGGGGGGGGGGGGGGGGCGGAACAAGAAAATAATGAGGGCGATTAAGCCTTTCGCATCGTGCTGCTGAAAATGATGCTCAAACGTTGAATGACTAAGTTGGAACAAATCTTTGTACTTCATAAAAAATCTTTACCATAAAATTCTTACCCCCTGCGTAGCCAAGGGGCCCCGGGGGGCGTGCCCCTCCCCAAACTTTTCAGTGCCCCGGTGCACCCCCCCCCCCCCCCCCGCCCACAAAAAAAATCTGAAATGTCCTGCTTGCCAAGGAAGTGTCTTTTGAGTTATTAAAAGGAAGAGGAATCTAAATGACTATTTTTGACTGTTCGTACCGACTTTTTTTGTTGCCGGGGGGGGGGGGGAGGGGTTAACATTGTTTTCGTCATATTCGAAAGATCAAAGGTATGATTCGTTTCAAAACGAGCAATGCAATTAATTTTGAAACAGAATAACAAGGTTTTTTTACGTCCAATGATAAAAAATATATATGTTGTATTTATTTTGTTTAAGTTTTTTAAATTTATTTTTTTTGTGGGGGGGGCGGGGCTGTCAACACACATAAAAATAGGAACAAATTCCAACTGAACAAGCACAGGCAGTTTCGAATTTTTTAAATATTTATTATCCTTTTATTTTCTTGTTTGCATACTCATTCGTTGTTCCTCCAACTTTTCCAGCAATGGGAGACTTTTGAGACGGTGGTGGCAGCAAACGCACCGGTACTTTTTTATTGTTTGCGTTGAGTCACATTGAGCATGAATGCTGCCACCAACGTCTCAAAAGTCCCCCATTCTCACATTCGTATTGGCACCGTTTCAAGTGTGCGCCACCTGAATAAAAAATTCCTTCACAAAAATAGTCCGTTCCTTATTTCTTTTCAAAATATAATTAAAAATACAGGTTTATAAACAAATATCAAGGATTAATATTTATCTACAGAATGCCTTTTATCTACAATTGTTTCTTTTAATAAATATATATTTAATTTAACTACTGAGGAAGAGATAAATAAGTTAAGAGTTTTTAGTCAAACAAATCTTTTAATCAATCCGTTTTAACACTCTCCATTTTGTTCCAGAACGAGAGAAACACCCAGTTTCGTTCCTGAAAAACGTCCAAAACGTATACCCGATTTGTTTCAAATTCTGACCGTAGCATGCTGAACTGCCCGGCCAGACAAAAAATTCATATTGATTCAAAAACAAGTTGTGCATAGGAATAAATTTTGTAGTAGTTCTTAAAACAATTGGAATATTCAAAATGCAAAGCCTGCATGATCCAAATTTCCTCTTTTGAGAAAACATGCGAACCCAATTTATGTTAATTGCATGCATATATTCATTTTTCATAATGATTATGCATAATTCAAAACCATTTTTGTTCCTTTATCCCCGTTCAAAATACACAAGTGTTCAAAGCAAACTTTCAACAACGTATTCTCTGGTATACTCAACGTCTTATTCAAAGGCGCCGACAGTTAATTTGTTTGTGAGCTCCCATTGGACTATTTTGACCTAGGTCAAACCGTCATGAATAAGCATGAGGGTTAGCTACCCACAATGCTTTGCGTTTCATTCACAATTTTGCATTAAGTGTTCTGCCATTACCGATGCCCTTGGATAAAGCAGTGGGGTGCGTAAAACGCCTACGTACGATGTTTTCAAAATTCCATTAAAACTTTCCTACAAGACAGAAAACCAGCCTGTCGTTTGTCGGAAGTCGACATCAAAACTCAAAATACTTAATAAAATCACTAACCCCTACACCAGCATTACTTTAACCCACTCTAAAATATAGATTATATATGGTTTAAATATTACAACATTATTTACAAATCTAGAAAGTGCACTTATTATGTATAGCTTCACCGTGGTTTTCTTGTTCTTGGTCGGGTGGTGAAATTACAACAAACGAGTTTGGTGTATAAAGTATTTTGTCCTCTGTTTTGTGTACAGTTAAGATAAAAACCCATTTTCTTGACTTAAATATATACACGTTGGAATCAAGATTACTGCATGTATCACTGGAGCAAACTTACGAGTTAAAATGTCAATATTCATAAATACGAAAAACAACCCAACCTATTTTATCAATGGAGCGGTCCTGTAAGCCCCGCCCACACACGTGGGCAACACCACGTGAACCAGACCAATGCAATACTGCATGTTTAAAAACGTGCGCGTCGTATACGCACTTGCGCTTTGTTGGACACGAATCACGGCTGTGATTGGTCAAAACACCATGGGGGCGGGTCCTAATGGATCGGTCCATTTTTGATTACACTTTCGCTATTCAGCCTTACTCTTCAAAACACACAACACACATTATAAATTAATAGGGAGAATACACTGTGAAAACAACACAATTATCATAATAGTAATAATACTAAAATCAACTCCACAACTTCAAACTGTATACTTTCAAAACTCCATTATGCCGAATTTTAACAATGACATTAGAAAAATCACGCCACACACACTTAAACATGAATTCTAGATTTCAAAACTTACCAAATTGGTCACTATTTTTATTTCATAGCCTTAGCTGGTTCCTGCACACTACATATATTCCTTTACTGCACGTGTTTTGCCTGGTAGTCTTTTACTTTCTCAAACAACTGGAATATACTGAATACAAACTTGAATTTGTTTTGGAGAATACAAAAAAATCTCAGTGCAGCACATAAAACGATTTTACATAAAAAAAGGAAGTCTTGTTTTCTTCCAGAAAATGAGGTATTCAGTGATCATGTTCGCTATGGAATTATCTCTATGCCCAGGTTGAGTTACAGAACACGTTCAAGGGGAGTTGACGGGGCTAGAATTAGCCGACCGGTCGCTGAGGGAGTCGGCCAGGCTGCGGGGCCGCTTCAGCAGGCTCGGGTGGAAGTTGGCGTGCCGCCGGGCGTGCTTCATCAGGTGGTCGCTGCGCATGAAGCGCTTCTCGCACAGCGGGCAGCAGAACCGCTTCTCCCCGGTGTGGGTGCGGTAGTGACGGGCCAGCTCGTCGGAACGCGCAAACCGCTTGTTGCAGTCCGGCCACGTGCAGGGGAACGGTCGCTCACCTACAAACACAGACAGAAAAACAAAGAAAAGATTTCCGTAAGACAGAGTTTTCAATCTTCATTATGTTTCTAAGCTAACTACCCCGACAGTGACCTTTGACCCTGACTTTGACCTTTGAACGTGACCGCGACAAAGAGAAGACTAAAAGATTGACATAAAATAATTTCATTGAATAATAAGCCATCTTTGACTGAAACCAGAGTTTTCTTTTCCTGAAGCCATGTCCTGTATTTTCCTAACAGTGCCATGTAGCCAGATTCAAACCCTACACTCTAAAAACTGTGTTTGGCAATTAAACACAATCTTGCGATTACATTGTAAACATGTTTAGAAGCTAAACATTAATGTGTTTAACTTCAATTCCTTAACATCAATGTTCCATAAACAATATCCATGCTTACTCTAAACATGTTAAGTATTAAAACATGTTTACAAACTGATAGCAAGAAAGTGTTTAGAAAAGTGTTTCATTGTTAAACACAAATTTTGAAGTGGAAGTTTTCTCAAACTTTCAGAATCCATCAAACCAAGTTCGTCAACAATAAACACAAAATGCAGAGAAAATATCAGTTCAGATCTGTTGGAGAAAAGGTGTGGTGCCGTAATAAGAGGAAAGAGTAGAGTAAACGCCTCTTTATCACAACTTGAAATCAACAATTGAGTAATAACAACGTTTCAAACCCAATAGGAACCGCTATTACGTTCTACAATTAGCGGTTATGCTGTGCCCATTCCTGTTACGCATACATTCCAGGAAAAGGCTTGATTTCAAGTCTGATCAGCCAAACGGTGCTGCTTCAATATGCAATGGTGATTATCATGTGTCCAATGACAAGCTAATACCGACTTGAGGTCAAGTCTAGTTCAGGAAGGGTGCTACACCCTTTTACAGGCGGGCCCATTTACCGCAGGGAGGAAGTCATTATTAGAGCCAATTAGATCGGAGATACCGATAGCGTCTATACACGACATACTAGGATATCCCTATTCACAGAGAAGGATTGCAAGTTGCGTGATTTTGCGATGATATACAGTTATCCAATTGTTTTAGAAGCTTTTAGCTTTTAATTTTTTTGAATATTTTAAGGCTTTTTAATTAACCATAAGAATACAAGTATGGAACGCTCTTCGGACTTTTAAAGGTTACATAAAATGAATTTTACAGTGCATTTTTTTGAGATTTGAAGCCATTCCTCTGTATAAAAGCTGTGTGTATGAGACATCTCTTTCTGGTAATTTTTTTGCAAAGTGCCAATTTTTAATTTGAAATGTTTCACGCTTTTCATAACAAGTGAGGGCGCTGATGCTGTGATGTCACTTAAGCAACACACCCTTCAGATTAAAGTTGGTATATACGCGGTTTTTTTTTTAATTTCGATTTTCTTTTCCGAACGAAATTTAAAGGAATGTCCTGTAACAAGCTTGTTTGTATTTTGCAGGCCTTTATACAGTTTTAAAAATTGGTTTAAAATTGCGCGCTCCATAGTTCAGAAATTGCGCCAACTATATTTACAACGAATTAGAAGCGTCCCACTCTTAATTCACAAGTTGAACTTAATTGTCGTGGGTCAATTTTTTTCTAGTGCGATGCCTCATTGGAAAGCAGTTTACTAATATATAATGCTAGAAAATTATCAGTTCAACTCAAAACTATTGGAAAATGTGTAAGGTGCCACACCCCAAAATCACGTATAGGCCTACACCAACTTAAAGTTTTTCTCTTTGTGTTAACCCCAAAATTCTGCTTATTGAAAATATCTACGCATAAGCTTTCTCATTGTCTTCTTGTTGTATATATATACTGGAACATGAACCAATGAAAGCAAAAAACGAATCCTCCAAAACCCTTAACATTCTGGCGACTTTTTATTGTATGTGAAACTGACGTTTCCGCTTTTAATGACATCACAATTTTGCTCATGAATATGGAATGTTTCATTAGCATAAAAAACGAACAATAAACCCTTAAAATGGCAAAGTAGAATGGAATAGGCCTACACAGACTCATTTCAAGGATTGCATTTAGAAAGAAAAGTCCATGAAATGGGCCCTTTAAGGTGCATTTTTGTTTTTAATAATGTAAAAGTAGATGATTTTGTTCTCTTACACTGCAAAAACTGCACTGTTAAATTTACACCATTGGTATATATAGGACCATCTGGCGTTACATTTTACTGGTGTTGTCCTATATAGATACCGAATGGTGTTAAATTAACACTACAGTTTTTGCAGTGTAGTTTGTTTTACAAGTTTTTTTCACCAATTCCTTATATAGGAGATAAATGAACTGTATTTCTGGGGGATGTTTCATCCGCGTAGTGGCACAATGTTTTGTTAACAATGCACAATGTCCTGAATTTATAGGGCATTTTACCTAATTTCTTTGTTTTTTGTATCGAATATCTTCGCTTGGCTGAAGGCTAAGCTTTCAAGGCCTCACACTCGCTTTAAGTGCTCCATCTCTTAAAAAGAATTCACCTTACTTCTGCCAGTAATTGGAAATCCCTATGGGTTTTCCCGCTATTGTAACAATGCCTTGCATATAAAAATACGTTTTAACTACTCGCACGCGAACCGCTTTATACAGCCAAAAAAGGACTCAGCACGCTTCATTCAACCATCGACAATTATGACCAAGCCCGCACAAAAAGTTGTACATGAAAGCTTTTTAGAAGGTCGAATAAAAATGGTACTTTGGACAGACCTTCCGAAGGTAATTATTGTTGTAATAAAAGATTGTATTGAGATATGGGGGGAAATGGCCCCGTGGCGCCTCGCGCGACAGGTGTGCGAGTTGAAGTGGGTAACAAAGAACGGACTCTATAGCGGAACGTGGCCCAATTGTAGGGTCCCCATGACACGCGACCAGAGCACCTGTTCGCGCCCATTAAGAATTTGGAATGCTCCATTTTGAAAGGTTGCCCCAAGGTCAAAATGGGATAACCCGTGGAAATTGAGTTTACACGTGGTTCTTTCACAGACTAACAATGAGGTGAAGACCAATATGCATTGGCCTTTTTGAGATATGAAATCTAAAACTTCTGAATTTATAAAGGTAATTTGATGCTGCAGCATAGACGAACAATTTCGTCTGTGATTTTGTGTGGTCCTGAAAATAACTGGGGTAACTCACTTTGTCAACTGCATCTCAAAAAGAGTAACCGTAACACCCTGGGCATTTTTGCTAGGATGTAACCTCAATCCTATATATACAAAATCCTCCAAATGCCTCCATTTAAAAATGACATAAAGCCTCAATCCTGCAAACTCATCCGGCAATCACTGTCAATATGTTGAGGCAGAGCCAGTGACATCCTAGAGCAGTGCGGAGGGTTTAAAGTAAAGTCTATGCCTCAATTATGCACGGCTGAGCATAAACGACACAAGGTCCGGCCTTATAAGACCCGGACACATTATTTTGCCATATAGCCTCAATCGTGCAAACCCCTCCATTTTGCAAAACTTAAAACGCATAACGAGGGCATGAACGTTGGCTATTGTTTGAGATGATATAAAAAGAAAAGGTCTTCGATGCCCTGCAATGGCTTAGCACTAAGAGCCTCAGTTTCAACTCCAATCAGCTGAAATTCGTCCATAGCTGTCGTCTTAGAAGACAAATGATGTTTTGTTTTTCGCGGGCACAAAATAAACAGAAGACACACACGGCTGGATTCAATGGACCGATCTAATAAGCCCCGCCCACTGCGCACGTGGGCAAATTACCACGTGCTCCTCTCCAATGCCACGCTCCATTTCCGGCCGCGCGCATCATACGCGCGTGCACGCATGTCGGACTTCTGTGCACGCACGTCGGACACAAATCACGGCTGTGATTGGTCAGTACACCATTGGGCGGTGCTTACTGGATCGGTCCATTCTAAACGCACGGTGTTCAGAGCAAAGATGTTGCATTCACTCACAATGCATTGGCATGTATACAGAGTTCTGCGACTTCATCTGGATTGTGCATTGATTCTGCTTGTGATGATGCAAACAAAGCCAAAAGTTACCAGCATGTTGACGATGAAATTATGTTTAAAATCATGACGCAAGCCGACAGAGCTATTGCGAGAGACGTATAGCGTCAGTCAGAATTGCCTCATTCTTTTACGTGCACTGCCATCAAATTAGACAAGGATCGGTTTTATTTCGCAAATGCAATACACACTACCCCTCCCAAAAACATTTCGTACCGTAATTAATACATGGACTGCGATTTACGCTTTTCAAATTCAAGCCAAGGATAGGGTTTTTAATACAGTGTTTGGAGAGTTATGACTACAACATTTTCCAGTAAAGTTTCGATAAAGAAGGTGCGCCAATCACAAAAGACCATCAACTCTGTGACCAAATCTTACTTATCACTCTCCAAATAGTCCACAAATGTTTTTATCAGTCGCTTGTTATATCACCCATTTAACGACAGGTGCATGCCACGCGACTGTTGTTGTCTTTCGAAAAACCGCAGTATGTCATGCGAAAGGGCCCAAAGGGGCTTTGTTCAGGAGGGCCTCCAACCGGATCGTGTTTTCACAACCGCGAGATAAAAGAAAGGTCACCGGCTCGCAACTAAGATTTTGGCACACGACAAAGGCATGGGGCATATCCGTACTTTCTTTGTTCACCTGTACTGTGTGAGATTTTTTGGAGAACTTTTTTTTGGGCAAGATTTGATATTTCTTTTTATGCAAATTGAGGCACGTGCGATGTGACCTACTGACACGTGACCTGTGATCGTTGCGAAGAGTAAGGGGCGTGTTTCAAGAGGGTACCATATTCCCATAAATGGGATTGTTTCGCACCGCCACCACTTACACATTCCCAATTTGACCATCAGGTGTGATGAGAACATTGCACTCCCTGAAAAAAAAACACCGGACTCCCAGTACACATGTCTTGGCAAATGTCACAACAAGAGAATATGAGTTCATGGGAATACGAGATTCCAAATAGTAAAAAGAAAAGTCAGTCCAAATTTCACAGGACAGCAAACAGGCTGATAACATCGTTATTCTTTGAAGGTGTTGCATTTTATCCAAGACTGATTATATGACAACGTGTCTACGCATGCGTATCGGTGAAAGAAAGACGTTTCAACGGTGAGGGCGCTCTACAGGCAAAGTCTAGTGGGCGGGGCGAAGCTTGCCGACTTCACCCGTGCCACTGAACTTGAAGTGAAGGTCACTTCGCACAATGAATACATTTACGTACAATCCTACAATCGTGTTCGGCAGGGTCGTGTGGAGCCCCACAACGCAGCCGGCCTTTGTGCAAGTTCTTTGTGACTATTTTTGGAAGCGGGTGGGCGTGTTAAAATACAGACCAGGTCACGAAACGTCTGCCGATATGCGCGGGGGCAAGTCGCGGTCAAGCCAGCAGGTGTGTAGCGAGCACGACTTAGCCGGCAGTTCTTTGTTCCCGTATACAGGGCAACATCTGCCGAATTTGGCTCAGGATGTAACATGTGCTTACTGATATCTTTTTCAAATCTCGATAAGTCAAACTCTGATAGCTAAAAACAACTGTTAAGTCAATCAAAGAATCCATTCCCTACAGTAGTATAACAATGATATACAACCCTGCTTAACTCAAAACTCTGCTTAAGTCAAATTTTGAACCTGTTCCCTTGAGGTTTGACTTACCAAGATTGCAGTGTATAAGCAATAAGCGCTTAGTACGTGCTAAGCACACATAAGCCAAGAACCAGTTACAACCGGAAGTCCGGCATATATCCCATTGGGTTTTTGCCTGGTAACTGCTCTGGCTAAGCAAACATTTACTGAATTTTAACAGCATATTTTTGTGCTCAGCGGGTCTGGGTTCCAGGCAACTACAAAGAAAAGGAAGAAACTAAAGAAACTGGAGAACTAAATTTAAGAAAACTTGTCAGATATGAATACGTCCACGACAATTACTTGATCCTCCGTGACCTTGAGTAAAGCACTATTATTATTCAAGTACTATCATAATATATCATCTAGTATATCGGCAACGCTTATTTTACGATTTATTGTAGCTATCGTAATATGCCTTTGTTGAGTTTTATTTATCAAAATTGACCTTTGGTTTGTGTTCGGGTGCATAACAGAATTGTTGTCACACGAACAAATAAATCATTCGCATGTCACTTTTGCTCAGACAAACATTCGTCAAAAGTGACTCATGAAAAACAAAATCGGTACAAAACTCAATTTGGATTCAACTAGAAATCTTTTTTTCATAATTGCGTGGTTAAATTTGCGAAGACTTACATTGAATGGAAGAGTCACTATATACACAAAATAATAATGGGTACAAATCTTCTCGCCATCTGCTCCGCCTACGGATTTTCGCCATGCTTTTATCGGGACCGTACCCGTTATTTCACAACCGGCTGAAATTTATTTCGGTATGGCGTTTATGTTCACGTTTAACTAATTTTTTTGGGCATGAGTTGCGCAATATCGTTAGATGGTTGCGAAAGATTCCCTGAGGAGTAAAATCACCCTTGTGCTTGTGGTAAAAATGATTAAACATTGACCAGTCAGCTACACTGCAAAAAATGTGTTTAGCAATTAAACACTTTTCAAATCACTTTCTTGCTATTAGTTTGTGAACATGCTTAAATACTAAACATGTTTATAAATTATAGTAAGGATGGATAGTATTTAGCAATTGGATATTTAATGTTTGGGAATTGGACACGTTATTTTAGCTTCTCAACATGTTTACAAAGTGATGGCGAGATTGTGTTTAATTTGCTCAACACATTTTTTTTTAGAGTGCACGATAATGAAACTCGCTCCGAAAACAAAGCCCAAACTTTGGGTGACCCGTCTTCAAGTTTTACGTGTTGGGACATGTTCGTTAGTACAAAGACATGGTTTCTATAGTTGTTTATTTGTTTACTGCGTGTTGTTTGTGTTTAGCCATGACCCATTCGTGTGGGGCCCTTGCAGAGTACGGTTCATCAAACACGTTTAACAATAGCAGGCAAACACAACAAAAAAGGTGCCATCCTTTTAACAAAACAAACCTTTTCATTTGTCTTTGCGCTTAGCGTGGCCCGTTTAGGCCTGAATGAAAAGTTGGGATTGAATGCATGGTGGTCTACCACCCCTGCCCCCCCCCCCCCCTCAAAAGCGAGACATTTCTTTTCTGCGATAACAATCCTCAATCACCCTCGAACTCTCACACGGATGGGTTTATGAGAATGTCCTTTATTGAAAATATAACCAACGATCAACATATAGACAATCAAACCTACCCCTTTCATTCAAGTTCAACTGCTAAACAGATTTCCTTTAAAGCTATTTCAATGACCGCGTAGTCACTCAACTATATAGATACTACTTTTGTCAACGTACACGACACGTACGTGACATGATGTGATAAACACAACAAAGAGGGCGGGGCGACATCAGCTGGAAATGGGGCCGGTTCGCCGGTAAACAGCACACACCCACTTTGCGATCGGTACAATACCTCTGTACAACATAATATATGCCGTGTATAGTGTACATGTACATGTAGAGAGCAAACAAAGCATTGTTTACCATGTGGGTCAATTTGGTCCTTTGTTAATGGGTCGAGTATAGTAAAAAATATACCCCGGTACATTGTGAGGTATTACGTAAATGTATCGATCTTTAAAACAAGGGGCATTGCAAAGGAAGGGAATTCGCTTCATTGGTCGTGCGATTAGGCCTAGGTATAAATATTCTAGTGAGCTACGCCTCGCGAAAATCTATATTACTGGGATTGTTAAAAGCGGACAAAAGAATGTTTCTTTAGAATATCTGGGCATGTTTTGCATTGCCGTAAGAGCGGGTCGATAATGGGCAGGGTCTTTAAATTGTCTTGAACATTCCTTTACAATCTTACAGCTAAACTGCTCGTCTTAAACTTCCCAAATTAACAAAAGTATATTAAAAAATACTATCTCTAGCTATAGAGGGCTTGTACTTCAATATTTATTTATGCGACAAAGAAATTTTTGTTCTCCATTTAATTTGACAGCAAAAGTAAAAGGCAAAACATGAGAACAAAAGTGGAAGAGTTGTTATAAACACGCCAGTGATGCCAGTGTTGTTCATGAAATAAGCAGGTGTTCTTGAATTCAATTCATTCTACCAACGAATGAACGATATTACATCTGCGCGTGCCTATTTGAATAATATTTGATCAGTACAAAAATATACATGACGTCTATTATACAAAGAAAACAACATATTGCACAAGACTTCTGGAGCGTTCGATACCTATAAATATCAATGAGTGTGAAAGGTTGGAAGTTGATAATGTATGACGCGGTGTGTTTACATGTACTTTGTACACATGATCTGTCATAATACAGTGCAGTTCACTAAAGTTTACAACCAGACAATAACACAATGGAATCCCGCAATTGTGCACCGCCCATTACCTCAATACGGTGTTGGGAAATTGCACAAAAGAAAAACAGGCCAAATTGAGAACGACCGTAATTTTTCGATGTACGTGAGAACAACATTACTCAAAATTAAGTAAAGATGAATCATTATTCGGTGACGATATTAGGTGGTCATTTTAAAAGAATGGGGAAACAAATGTAAAAAAAAAGAATTTCTGTTGCCCTAAAAAAGTTAACGCCCCCTTCTCGGAAGTGCGTTTTCGTTTCAACCTTACACTGAATTTACTGTTGTCAAAACTAACAACGTCACTGTGATTAATTAGCCTACACATTCAAAGAAATTTAGAAGTTGTTCTTTCTTGGGTTTGTTTGGAAGTAGCAAGTGTTTTACATATAATGACTTTACATGTAGTTCGTTCATCATTGAGAAAACTACAGCTGTATTCATTCAAGTACATGTACATGTATACATGCATTTAGATGCTACAACTTTTGTCTGTAGATCATGTACTATCACTACTATACACTCGAAGCTCGTGTTCTAATTAGCTTGACAAAAGGGGCTTAAATGTTAGGCCACCCCCCAGCCAACACACTATACTTCGACAAATTGAAGACTTAATCGGATTAGTGTTAAGAGATTAGCCGTGAGGGATTAACAAGTGTCACAGTAATTCCAGCATCAAGTTTGCTGTTAACTTTCAAAAGATCTTTCATCAGCAGGAGTGTTTTGGTCGATAGAATAAAAAGCACCCCAACCGGCCAGCCATACCAGCTGTTGCTTTGACACGAGGTATTAAGAGAGTTCTGAAAGACTCGAGAGAGTTAGACGGTTTAATTGTCCCCCTCTCCCCACCCCCCACCTCAAAAAAGCAACAAGTACAACCTTCTATAGGGAAATTCGCGACACTAATACACCTACATGGAGAAAAAAAATACACGAAAATACACATGCTCTGTAGTGAAGAGATCGCATATGGACATGTGGTCTTTGTTAATACGAAGCATTGCGAAATAGTTTGAACACAGGTGTTATGCGTGCACGTGTTGTGTTTGTGTACATGTACATGTACATGTACATTGTTGTGAAGTGGGCATGTACATGTACGTATGCACAAACCACGTATCTGTGAAACTCCTAACAAAGAAAATGTCCCCGCACGTGGTCTTACCTGTGTGTGTTCTTAGATGGGCCTTCAGATGTGATGATTTCCCGTACATTTTGTCGCAGCCGATGTAGTGACACTTGTGCTTTTTGACTGGCTGGCCGTCCGGCCCGCGATCAGACCTCTTGCTACCCCCGCGTTTGCTTCTTTGTCCCGTTGCGAGTGTCCCATCGCACGTGCTTGACTTCCTGGCCCGTCGTTTCTTGCCCCCTTTCGATTTCACCCCGGGAGGGGGAATACTGGCAAAAGGGTCCTGGCTGAGCTCCAGGGAACTGGAGCAGTCACTGATGGGGGAGGGGGCAAGATCTCTGTTCTTGTACGTCTCCAAGTCGGCCAGGATCCGTGCCACCATGAACAAAGGATTAGGCAGCGCGGCCAGTTCAGAGTCCTGCGTCATACCATCGTCGTACGGTGGGGTGGTGTAGCCCAGCTCCGCCGGTAAGGGTGTTGGGGCGATCACCGGTGATTTCCAAGGGGGCCTGGACTTAGCAATCGCTAGGAGACACTCAGCAGCTGAGGTGACGTCCATGTCTGTCTGTCCGTAGTCGAAACTTGTCTGTTGGTTCGGCAGGATGGTCGTAGTATCCATTGCGAGTGCATGTACAATTCAACTCGTCCAGCTGTCAAATTATAATGCGTAGAGGCGGTGTGGCGCAGTTAGAAATAAACCCGCGTACACGTAAATACACTCACGAAGTAGCACAGAGTGAAGGAAAAAAGCAGGATTTATCTCCAATCGGTGGTGAAATCTCCGTTGAAATTGTGATCAAAGCTGGGACCATTTGAGGGGACTTTCCTCATGGTTTGCTGCCTCGAATGGTTATGTTGACGATGCATGGGGGGAGGTGTGTGCTATGTGTTTTCTCCCGCGGTTTCTATTGTTACGAAGGCACAAAGAAACGACCCTTCTGCATGTACGTCGTATACGTGTGACGTATCTAACCTCGTGTGTGTGTGTGGTGGGGGCGGGGTGCTGTAAATAACCATCGTCAGCGCGGTTCTGATTGGTCCGCTGATCAATATGCTAATCGTAACCTTTGATCTAACAGGTTTACGATATTGTGACTTCGATTATGTTTCGGATCAGATGCCAGCTTCATGATTATCATCCCCTCACTTGCCAGACTCCAATGCAATATTAGTCCAGTTTCTGATTAGGAGATGCCAAAATATTCCACTCAAGGCTAACGATTGGTGTATTTTTGTTAGGGTTAAACATAAAAGTAACATGAACGTAGCCTTATGCTGCGACGAAGCCGTGATTTCGCGAACCAGTTTCATGAGGCCCACGTTTTAGTTTTGTTGCTCGATCGACAAAACTTCGCGGGTTCATTTCACTGACTCAGCTGCACTGCGCGACCTCTGAGGTCAAAATAGTTCCTTTTTTCTTCTTGTTGACAAATTCTTTTATTGTCGGTCACTGACAGAAAACCGCGCTTCCGTGTACGTGCAAATCTTTGTTCATATCCGTTTTTATACAGTTTTTGGCAGTCGGCGGACAGAACACGCATGCTAGGCTGCAACGGACAAAAGAATATTGGTCACTTTGTAAAAAAAATATATCTCAGTAAAAATATATCTCTTGTGATAACGTGAGGATTTATTCATGTCAAATAAAAGAATTCTACTTGGCATTGCTTTTCCGAAACAACTTGCTCACCCGATTTCAATGCTGTTGTTCTTAGTGATTTCACGGGTGGGTTCTTTAATTTAGTTGTGGCAAAAAAAAAAACCTTTGAAATGAGGCCAAATGTGTAATTCTGCAAGTCAATTTGTGGAATTAGTTAGTTTCCTTATGAGATATTGCATTTGTGTTCTTTGGAATTATTGAATTTGACATTGAATAAAAGAGTTTTTCATAAACTCAAGAGAAAAAAAGTTTGATGTTAAAGTTGGTGTAAACGTACTTTTCGGGTGTTGGGCAACTTGAAAAATAGATTTTCAAATTTAATTGATATTTTTTCTAGCAATACATACATACTGGAATTTGTATCATTGTGGAAACATTCCTTTGTTCTCGCCACTAAAGTTACGAGTTTGAAAGTGTAGCTTAAAAATACTCTTGTTTTAACCAGAATTAATTTTCTTGGCTGAAACTTGGACTTAATATCCCTTTTCTAAAACTCTTCCATTTGCGACCAATCAACATAGCTTGGAAATTACTAGTTTTTGAGTAAAATCCATATATATTTTTCGTGAAAACCTTGTGGAGACGTATTCATCTATAGAAATTGCCCTGTGGAGACGTATACAATCTTTTGTTCCCTATTGAACACACGTCTCCAGAGGGTACGGTGTATCAGATCATTGAAGACGTCGCACGAAAGAATCGGCGCACGACAAGTTAAAGGGAAAATACAACATTTGCAAACATCAAAAAATAAAACTACCAAATCATTTTGAAATACCTTGCTGGACTGTTAGTGAATGACAGTGTAAAGCATCCTGTAAAATCATCACACCTGGTATACTGTCATTTTCAAGAAAAGTGGTATTTTTGTATCAATTTCCAACACTGATCGGCCGACCAGCGTTGGAAAAAACTGGCTTTTTTTCAAATACTGGCCCCAAAATCATCGCATTTGTTTGCAATCGATTACACACCTATGAACGGGTACAAGCCAGCTAGACTGGTTCCCTGACCTTACAATTCCCCAATGTGTATAAACTGCTTTGTTTCTTCTTAAATGGAGTCAGGGAACCAGACTACAGGAAAATGATTGTTTTTCTTGGTTTCTATAGCATTTTCGAAACCAAAACCTCAAAAAAGTCAGTTTAACTATATTTGCTATATATTTCCAACCCCCCAATTCCATCCATTTCTGAAAATTATAGCAAAAGCAAATGATGTATATTCCCTTTAATATCTCAACTTTTGAGAGGGACGCTCCTATTCGTTGTGTGTGCAAATGAATTGTGTGCAATTTCTGAACTGGAGCGCGCCATTTAAAACCGCTTTTTCAAACTGTATAAAGGCAAATGTATTTATTACAGGACATTTTATTCCTTTAAATTTTGTTCGGAAAAGAAAATCGAAAAAGCACGAATATGCCAACTTTAAACGAATTGTTTTTCAACAAATTTACGTTAAATATTGGTTGCTAGATTGACTGAATCAATTGAATGGAAAACATTTTCCTGGTATAAGTGCCTAGACTGTTCCTTCCGTTTTTACACTCTAAATATTGGTTTACATAACCAATCTTTAGTTGAAATAACTAACAATAAGTGGTTAATATGTGTCTCATATAGCCAAGCGATTGGTTGGACACATAATATTAACCGCTATAGTTGGTTACTTCAACCAATGATTGGTTATGTTAACTAATACGGGTGTCGTGTAGCAGAGTCGAATTGTTCCCAAGATTGAATGAACTGGATAACTTCATGAGCTCATGCATAATTGTTTTAATGCAATCCTTGAAAATGACCTTCCTGTCCCATTTAACCTTATTTTTAATATTTTGTTTGTGCAGTTTCAAGAGTATTTTGGTGCCGTTTTGGTTTTTATGCTAATTTAAATTTCCATATTCAAAAGCAAATCTGTGATGTCATTTTAGGCATGCGAACCTTGAATGTTACAATTTAATTCAGCACCAAAATTGCCCAAACTTTGGATATTTTGCTGTCGTAACTTTCTTTTCTTTGGTGATTCGTTGTTTCCTCAGCTTTTTTCAATGAGCAAATTTTTGGGTTCACAATTTGAAAACAAAACAGTGTCTTCTTGAAATGACATCACAGCAACAGCGCCCTCAGTTGTCCGGAAGAGCATGGCAAATGTTAAAATTATTAATTGAAGAAGTGCACTTTTCAACAACAAATAAACCCAAAAAGGGATATCAAATAGTTTTTACTTAATCCTAAAAGGGCCGGGGTATTTTGACCATCTCTCAGCCGGTGCGGGGGGGGGGGGGGGGGGGGCTAATGTTTCGCTGCGCGGAAACCAGTGGTACGAATGTTTTATGTTTTTGGTGTCAAAACGGATGCGCAAGGCTAGAGGCTAAAAAGTCAGAACAGCTCGGGTCGCGAGAGGAGCACAAAGTTGCACAAAAATATGTTCCTAAGAAAAAATGCCTTTCATGAGCCCTGAAACTTGAGTTCGACGTTTAAAGCTAGGGGTTCGGGGACTGCAATCAAGACGTTGTGGTCGTTTGGCACATTTTTAGAGCGTATTTAAAGCTGGAGGATCAGTTGCTTTTTTCTCATTTTCATTCCTTTCCTGATTATATTACCACCCAAAATCCAACGAGAATGATCAATGCCCGACGTGTTGAAATGTCGGCCGAGTCGATATTAAAATTGTTGAGTACACATTGAAAACTTAAAAAACTTTTTTTATTACGAACGATTTGGACTTCATATATAATTCTTTATTTCCAAAAATCGATTGGTGACTGATCGTTGGAAAGAAATCACCAAGGTCTAAAATTTCTTGAGTTTTAATTTCACGTGGTGTTTAGTACCAGTACGATCTCTAATCCAAGTATAAGCGTACACTATTCGGTAGGTTACTTTATGGGTTATTGATTAATGCAAATTACAGTTGGTGTATATGCGTTTTTAGGGGTAGCACCTTGCAAAATAGATTTTCAAATTGACTGAATGGATGATTTACTAGCATTACCTTAGCTAAGAGCTTTTCAATGAGACATTGCACGAAAAAAATCGGCCGAGGACAAGTAATCGATTAACTTATTTCAACTGATTTCGAATTCGTTCTGAATAGTGTGCGCAATTTCTGAACTGGAGCGCGCCATTTCAAACCACTTGTTAAAACTGTATAAAGACCTGCAAAAACAAACAAGAAACTGTATTTTGTTGTTAGACATTATTTCCCTTTAAATTTCGATTCGTTCGGAAAAGAAAATCAATATTTTGAAAAAGCACGTCATATACCAACTTTAATAATGCGTAAACTTCGTTTGTGAGATGAAGCTGGCCGCTAGTCTACGATAGTCTTTTTTTGTGGTTTTTTTTATCCACTCCTGTTCCGCCCATTTCAGTCTTGGTACATTCTATCTTCCACAGCCAGTCCTGATTGGTTGTTCTCAGGCAGTGACGTACCTGAAGGGCGCGGCAAAACGTTATGACTGGAGCTTCTGCCTTGGTGACGTCAGTTTTGCTCATGAATATGGAAATTAAAATGAGCATAAACTGACTGGTAACGAATATGCAAAAAGACTCAGATATGTTTTAGGGATTTAATTAAATCTACAAATTACATTGCCTTATTAAAGTTATTAATATAAGTTAGTACAAAGATTTCGATTTTATTTATGTTATATTTTATTTACTTATTTATTTTTGGGGCGGGAGGGGTTTAACACCAATATTACACACTTCAAAACAGTCATATTAGAACTTTTTTGTAAATGTGCGTCCCGTGGAATTTATTTCCATTCATCATACCAAAAAATATATACTTTTTAAGGTTATTATCATATTAAAATCCATTATCTTTGAAAAATGCATGTACATCAATTTAAAATGGAATGTAATTACTTTGTGAAATGTTTGCTACAGTCATTGAACATTGTACAGCGCTGCAAACGTTTCTAACAAATATACACTGCACCTAAAGCAGTTACAACTATCCACTGCGACATTTACAGAAAAACCTGCAGAAAAAAATTAATGCACGCGATCCAGAGCATGCATGTGGTGTGTCCCGTCCGCGTAATTTTTTTTCCTAGGAGGGTTAGGGGCAATGTCATGAATAATTCAGTTTTTCCTTTGAATCATTGCAAGACTTAGGTTCTCGTTCTATTTTCCCCTTAATTTAAATTATCTCAGTGATAAATGTGGAGAAGAAAATAGCTAATGAAAATGAGCAGCGACGACGTGGATTCGAACCAGGGATCTTTGTATCCATAGCTCATCTCGCTATCCACTAGGCTACTGTGTGGTAGCTCGACGACAACCGTTCTTTAAAATGCTTTAATGTATTGTAACTAGTTGGGTAACTAACAACAATGCTGTTGATGTCATTGTCCGTTCTCATGGATAAACATGAATTATTCATGACATTGCCCCTAACCCTCCTAGGAATAAAAAATACGCATCCCGTCCCATCCCGAGGGCCCTCAAACGTGGTAAAAAGCGCCATCTTGTGTTGGGGCATTGAGCCAATACTCTTACAACAAAAATGTCACTGAATGGATTTTTCCAAGCCATCAAACAAATATCACAGACAAGTTGTCTGCGGACCGCATGCGACGCCTTTTTCCTGCAGCGCAGCTGATCTCTATGTGTTCTTTAAAAAAGTCAAACAACCCCTAGATGACCTTTGACCTCCAATTTTGGAAGACTTGTGATGAACCCCCACCCAAGGATCACTTCATCCAAGTTACATTAAAATCCATCCAATTCTGCAGACAAAGAAACATTTGAAGCATATTTGAACAGTGACCTCTAATGACCGCTGCATGACCTTTGACCTCAGTGATCTGATGAAGAATTGGGTCTTCCCATCGCTGCATCAAAGTTTCATCAAAATCCATGAAATCATTTGTAGTGCAAGTGCAAGTAATACAGAATTTAGGATTGGTTAGTTTCTCCCAAACCTTCGTTTAAGCGACACAAAAACTAGAATTGAGCAACAGAAGCACTAAATTTACCCCAGATTTTATTTCTTCTTTGACCGATTCAGGGTGCCTTCAGTATTTACACTGGTGGATTCTGATGGACTCGGGACACCAACATGGTTTGCGTGACAAAATTGGTGGATTTTGGCGGATTCGGGATACTTTCTAGTAAAAGTGCTAAAGCTGAATCTGTTTACTCCAATACTCTGACATTATGTAAATTAGCACTCTAAAATCAAGAGAAATATTTAGATTTGTTCGCCAATTAGGAATTTCTTGTGCTTGGAATCTAAAAGCTGGTGAAATAAAGTTTAGGGAAATTTAACGAATTTATCTTTAAGCAATCTTGACGCGCAGTAAAGGTGGAACTAGTATGCTCTACATGAACTTTTAGTGATTTAGCGCATGCAGCTGGAATGTCGCTCGCATCTTGGAAGAGCGCAACACGCAGGGTGCGATATGGACCATGCAATACAGCCTCATATCACCATTGTTGCCATGGATACCACCAATCAGGATCAAGGATACAAGTTTGCTTGGAGAAAATACCTAGTGTCCTTTAAGTACCTATCTGACTGACCGACTCCCCGACTGTCACTTTTGCCCTGGTTGCTGACTAACGAAGAGAGTGGGGCAGTGCTATTACAGAGTGGCAGGATCACATAAGGAATGTAGGCCTCTACGCTGGCATGCCGAAGGTGACGAAAAAGATCCGGGAACGTTGTCTCAAGCTTGCAGGGCATTGCGTCTGTCACCTGGAGCTGGCCGCTAGCCCGATCATTCTCTGGGAGCCCACAAGGGCACTGCCTCTCCCTCTGCCTCTCTGCCACTGCCTCTCTGAAGTCTCTCCCTCGTGGACATGCTGAAACAGGACACCGGCTTGACCACTGCCGAGGAGCTGCGCTCCTGCATGCTGAACCAACATCTGGACCCAGATCAATGGGAGGGCTCGAGCTGCCAAAGCGCCTCGACTTGATTGATTGATCATATAGGATACACCATATAACGCCAACGAATGGGCGAAATCCGGCCCATTGTGTAGACCAGATGCATGATAAGACTTCCAGTGAATAGCCATTTCTGAATCAATACCAGTGATTCCCAATCCAGTGAGCCACCAAGAGGTTCCACAGAGAGTTAATTTTTCGGTCGACAAAAGCATGGCCGACATGCCGCGATATAAACGAATGTCAGTAGACAACCTCAGGAATTGTTGATAGATCAAGGCAAAGCATTCTTTGGCCTAGCACAAAACACCATATCTAGATAAACAAGTACCAAGTGGTACAACCCACGGCGGTTCCACAAACTTTAAACCGCGAATTTGGCTTTGCAATGGGGCGTGATCTAATATGCAAATCAGATGCATGCGCGCGTATCAGTGTCACAAAACTGCAGGTATTCCACAGAAACTCACTGCCAAAGCTGTGATACATGCGTGGCATGCATGGAAACAGTATAATGGGCCGAGTAAAGTGTCCACCAACCAATTACCCACCAGCCAACTCACCAACCAACCAACATAAGCAGCTCAAGCCAATGGCGTGTTTCACACCGCCGTGGAAATAAAACGTAAAAAGATACTCACTTGATTCATGTATACGCTTACGAACCTACTGATCGGACAAACTAACAATTTTAAGTGTACCGTGCCATGGTAAATTTGTTGACCGTCTTGCACACTGCATTGCTAAACATTGACTCTCCGTAGTGACCTCAGGGGTGCGTTCAAGCGTGTTACTCTTGCTACTCCCGAGTGCAGGAAAATGTTGCGTGCGCATTACTCCCGGTGCAGGAGTATACTCCGGGTATGACGGAGAGTATACTCTTGCTCACCCGCGGGTCGTACTCCTGCCGTTCGGGCGCTCAGGAGTATACTCATGTTAGCACGAGTAGCACGCTCGAATGCACCCCAGGTGGCTGACTGTATTGGGAACTGCCTGTTTTGATTCAGAATGCCTATTCGCTGGGTGCTGGATTTCGTCCATTCATCGGCGTTATATGGGTAATCCTATATGATAGCACTGCCCCGCTCTCTTCATTATTAGGTATGCGCCTTGTCTTGTTCGTCAAAGAGACCAGTGATGTCCGAATTCCTAAATTCTCGTCAGTGAAATCCAGGCATTGGATAGCCAGCTGTCTGCCGCTCTCTTGGCGTTCCGACCAGTCGGTGGGTTCTCCCGCTGCTGTGGCTGTTTGTCGCCCTCTGACGGCTGTCCATGGACAGGGTCGGGAGCCGGTTCAACCCCGGGCGGTACTGTGGCTGCAGGTTGTCGTTTGTGTCCCGCGGAGTGCGGTTACCCACCTTGAACAAAATTTAAAAAGATGTCAACAATTCTTGAAAGCTGAACAAAGAAATTGACTAAAGCAGGGCTCGAACCTGGGACCTCCAGATTGCCGTTCCGGTGCTCTACCAAGTGAAGAAACACGACTGTGACATTATTAAGGGAATAAATGTGTGCTTGGAAGATAGTGAACCTTATGGTTAAGACTGGTTGGAGTCTGGAATGCTGATAACTAGGCGAAGCCGAGGGTAATTATCAGCATTCCAGACTCCAACCAGTCTTAAACTCAGTGTTTAATACCGACCAAGCACATATTTATTCCCATTCATAAATACCTTTTCAGTCAAAAAAAAAAGTCAAAACCAGTCAAAAATTGAACATTTCCAACGACTTTGTTCAACAATTTTACTTTCTGTTTCTCGAAACACCCCTCTAGCTATATAATGGATTTCGTAGGAGTCCACATTTCATGCGACACTTGAAAAATGTTTAATACCAGCCAGCCATGTCTTTATCATCTGTTTAAGACCGGCCATGTGGGCTCTCGACCAATCGGAATGGGTAAACTGTCTTAGGTATTTATGAATGTAATGCAATTATTTAAATGACATAGCTCAATCTAGTGCGCTCAATGCAGCGGCGTAAAAATGGTTTAGGTTCTAGAGAGCACATGGGGGTGCACCAATTTTTCAAGGGGGGCACTGAATCCAGTAAAATATACATTGTTTGTGTGCAATTCAAGATTTCAAATGGGGCGCATCCGGAGAAGGGGGGGGGGGGCTTGCTTTCAATTCAAAGTAATGACTTTAATCCCTAACCACCCTGAATCCTCCAAAAATCCTTTTTGCAAATTGGAGGAATTTGCAGGATTGAGGTTACATGGCCAAAGTGCGTTGCTGATTTCGGAGTACGCACTGTGTCAAGGTCTTGGGCCGGACCTTGTGTTGTTTATGCTCAGCCGTGCATAAATTTAGTCCTTGATTATACTTGACAACCTCCGCACTGCTCCAGGATGTCACTGCCTCTGCCTCTGCCTATTGACAGTCATAGCCGGAGGATTTTGCAGGATTCAGGCAGTGGTCACCCCTCCATGGACCATATTCAAGAAACAACGGAGGAATTTGCAGGATTGAGGCTATATGCTATTTTTCCATGAGGCCAATTGGAGGATTTTGCAGGATTGAGGCTACATCCTAGCAAAAAGGCCTAGGGAGTTAGGGTTAATTGAAATTATAGATCAACTTACTGTTAAGGCAGAATCCTTTAGGAATGCATGCATTTCAAGGAGACAAAATGAAAACCAATCCAAAAATAAATAGTCGAGTCTCGTTAATACAAACTCGTTCGGACCTAGCCAAATTGTTTGTTATATCAGAATTTTGTATTAAGAGGAACATCAGTCCCATTCATTGTGCACATAAATACACAGTCGGGACTAAGGCTTTAAGTTTGTTATAACCAGAATTTTGTATTAACAGAGTTTGTACTAACGAGATTCGATTGTAATAGGCACCCAAAAAATACATTCAACGATAGGCCTACAATTCAATTATTGATTTTTCTCCATGTATTTGATATACACAGTGGCTTTGCCTCCTAAATATCGAGCTTTTTAAATGAAATCACTTGGCTTCACTCTCAGGTGAAAACAAAAATTGAAACAAAGTCTCCTTTAAAAACTGAATTGAGACTCGGCTCATGAAATACTGAGGACCCTGTCTGTGCCTCGACACTTTTTGTGAATTTTTTCTGCGAAAGAGGTGAGCAAAGTTTGCCGATTTGGTTTTGCCTGTTTCTCTGGGATACTGCGTGTGGGCAACAAAAATGGTGAGAAAAGCGCCCTCTAGTGTTTGTTAACAGAGTCCAATTGAATATTACATATAAGAAGTTCGCTAATTTTCCTCTGTATTGACTAACAAGCCCCCAGATAGCAATTTCATGTCATCAAAGTCAATTTGAGCAGTGAGAAAAAACAAGCATTTTCTTAGAAAACACTTAGAATTTTTCAGTCCACTCTCATCTATAGGGTTTGTACACAGGGTGTTGAGTGAACTTCTTATATGGAAATCTTTCCGAATATACTAACCATCTGCGGTCGGCCTGTCGTTCGCGTTACGGCCAGGCCCCCGGCCCGGTGGTCAACGCGTACTGGTGAGCTGTCGGTAAACATGCGATTGAAGTTGCCTTCCCGGTTGCTGAGCTCCATGCGGTACATGCGGACCTCACGGCGAAGGCGTTCCAATTCTTCGCTGAATTCCTGCAGATGTCAAAATGGCGAACCCAGGGTCAAGTTCTAACTGGGACTGTAACTGCATACTAACTACGGTACTGAGGGTTTTTTACTCACCATTTGGCTAACTTATACTCCCACACAACATGCATCTCAAAATGCTCTACAGTATGTCCCAAAAATGTGCCTGACGGACTGTTTTTAAAATCATTACAAAACAATGAGGTCAATTTTGAAATTGTTTTGGTTGTGTAGATGCTCCTAAGCCTTGGCCTCAACCCCGATGAGTTTCATTTAATTTCAGTCAGGCATCACTGCACAATTGTCAATTGATCACAACGACACTTTTGAATACTGTGACCAAGTTCCTTGCCTTAATCAATTTCAGTGCTGTTTCATGTTACTTAGGCCTATCACAAACATGGTATGAATAGTTTGTGTCATGGAGGGACGATTTCACTAGTTTCAAAGTGACACCGGAACGTGGCGTTATTTACATGCCACGTTCGCAGGTCTATGCCTTAACCACCAAGTGGCACTATACCCCTAGAACTATGGGTATTACACGTGTAATACCCATAGTTCTAGGGCTAGTGGCTCTACATTTTTTTCTGCACAACTTTCTAACCATGCCTTCTCCTGGTGATTTTGAAGACCTTGGCGCAGGTTGCACGGTAAACTCAGACTGTCGACGACTCTCCAACTCTTTCTTAAGATTCCGGAGGTCCGACTCCAGATTCTTATTCCTCTGCTGGAGTCTTTCCTTTCCATTACTGGTCTCCAGTAGTTCGTTTTTCAAGTCTTCCATTTGTAAGCTCAACTCTGATTGCACTTGTTCCATTTCAGATCGGAGCCGGTGGACGACTGCGTCATTTTCTCTCCGCTTGTCGTTTTCTTTGCTGATTGTTTCCCGGAGTCTCTCAAATTCCACGGTCTTCGCTTCCAGCTCGGCTTGGGCAAGATCGAGTTGCTTTTGGAATTGCTTGACTTCATCTTCGCCCAAGCCTGTCACAAGCTCCTTTGACTTTGAGTCGTCCACGATTCTCTGAAGTCTGACAACTTGGTCTTTCATGAAATCATTGTCCTTCCTAAGTTCAATCACTCTGACTTCGTTCTCAGCGAGCTTCTGCGTTAGCAGCTTCTCCCTCTCTTCAAAATCTTGCTCGAAACCTTTCTTTGCCTCCTCGCCCCTCCTCTGTTCCGCGGCCAAGCAGTGTTGCAACTTTTTGATTTTGCTCCGTGCGTCTGCAATAACATTGGAAATTTCCTCCTCATAAGCGACCCTGACGGCCTCCAGCTCGACTTCCTTCTCATGGTTCTTCACGAAGAGCATGTGGACTACTTGAGTGAGTTCTGCCACCTTCTTGCACATCTTGAATTCGAAGGATTTCTTGTTGAACTTCGGGGTAGCGGCGGCAGCTCCGCCGCCCTCCGCCATCTTGAATGTTTATAGCAACTAGAAGAACAAGGTACGACGCGGTCTTCGGTCTTTACACAAAAACTCTTGCATGTTGGTAGACTCTTGGGGGCGTTCTATCCGCGTGAGGCGCCCCAAATTATTTAAGTTTCAGTTCAAAGGCGCTTTTGACGAGACCAGCGGGCCGCGGTTCATACGTTTTGTTGTGTGTATCCACTTTTACAAAACATTACAATGTGGACCACATTTCCATCTTTGTGCGTGTGGAATGTACAAATATCCAATTCATGTCAATTTGCAATGGCCATATGATTATTTTATGCCAATTGCAAGGAATGGTGGTGCAGCCCTGCTGATGCGACGGTCGGCTCGTTTACATCTTTTCCAGAAGCACGTGGCAGACGCTCTCAAATTTCTTACCCGCCGCTTCGGTGTAAATACAACACCTTTGGCTGTATCCGCGTTGGAAGGAAATCATGAAGATGTCAGAAATGTTGAGAGACAAGATGGAGACGCAGGCCTCCGATCTTTAGTTTCCTCAAGCTTCACTTCACAACTCCGAAATTTCCAAAATCATGGTCTTCATGCAGTTGGGTAAATATTATCATTTTTTTTATGGCAATGCTCTCTGACGACCGGGAAAAAAAGGTACTAGTACTAAGCCTATAGTTGCAACAACCGTCACTGCGCGCCCTTTCCTATGTGCTCTAGTGGGGCGGACTCTATATGCATTTTTGGGTACACTCTCTCCCAACACATATAGCCTAGGCGGTACTTCAACAAGTTCAAAACCATTTAATGCCATTTTGTCTGACCCTTTTAGGGGCGGGTCATGACGCTAAAAAGTGGGGGGCTGCGCCGGCAAAAGAACGATTCCGATAATTTCACCTTTTCTTTTCTTTTCTGCATTTGGCCAGCTCACCCATAGAGCTGCTCACCCAAGTGAAAATAAAAATAATTCAAGAATTTCGCCATTGCTGGGAGTTGGCCATATTTTTAAACAGTAAGGGGCAAATGGCGTAAACAAACAAAAAATCGGCTGCAACAGGCAATATTTTTTTTTAATCCAATAGGCCTATAGTTGGGCAATTTCCAAAAGTTGGCATTATACACTTCAGTCATTGTTCTGCATCCCACTTTTACGGAGATTGTACATTATGAGGCCGTTGAAAGAAACAGCGTTGATGCGAAATCAAATCCCTTTTGCTATAATGGCCTGGAATTACAACATTCAAAGCATTTTGCGTCTGTTAGGGGATTTCAAATTCCTGCTCTTAATGGTGGCCGTTTCTGTGTTATCCTCTTGGTCGGAAATCCTCTCAAATATTTCCTTGTTCGTATTTTACCCATATAATCCGAGAGCCCATTGAGGTCTCTCACAAAAGGTTTAATGGCGGCAGCGAGTAGGTGGGGTGTCCAAGCTTCAAAACCGCAATTCTTAAGTGTCATACCCGTGCGTCTGGGAGGGGACACCGCCTAAATTTTTTTTATGTCTAAGTTCATTAGAACGATCATTCCAACACCAAACAGTCATGAATGAGTCTGCTTTTGCAGAATTTCAACTTACGAATAAAAAATCCCGTGCAAAATTCACTTAAGAGCGGCAAGTTAATTGCCGATTTCTGCACGGCTTAAAAAGTATTACGCAATGCACACAAACATAGATCCCAACATAGATCCCAACACAAACATAGATCCCAACTAACGGAAGTCATACGCATGGTTAATTAAAGTAACACAATTTTTACAGCTGTTTATGGAGTGTTAAACTTTTCCACCAAAGGCGCACAGTTTCTTAAAAAAAGAAAGAAAAAAACCCACCGCAATATTTCATATATTATCAGATCAATACATTCATGTGTATAATGGTTCATATAGGGCCTATAGAGTGATTCTTGATTCAAGACATTCTTTGATTTTGATCGAAATAGACCATGGGACTGTTATGAATGTGTACTTTTAAGTGGAGGAAGGGGAAAACCTATATATGTATAATTATTTGTTTATGAATTAAATGATTGATACCAAAAAAGTACTAATGAGGCCTATACATAATTATGCATAAATCGGAACCTCTACAATACCGTGAGATCAGGAAGTGGGAGTGTTTCTGGGGGTTTAAAAGTTTTTGAAAAAGAATGAATAATTCACAAATAATGCGTTGTAATTCCAAGACTGTGTAACACTCTGTTATTTTACAGTACATGTGTACGGTACGTGTTCATTTTTAAAATTACTGTCATGGTATTTCGCGATTCTTGGGGGCTGTTTTGCAAACTGATACGTATGCCTCAATGCTATTACGTCATTTCACACAAAAAAGAGTTAAGCCCGGTTCATACTCTGCGCGAAAGCGAGAGCGAACGCGACTTGTGACGTCGTGGCAAGTATTCGCGCTGCGAATTCGTAAAAGATGAACATATTTCAACTCGGGCGAATTTCGCAGCGAATGTTTTATGACGTCAAATTCGCTTCGCATTCGCTTTCGCATGAAGTATGAACCGGGCTTTACGGTTTTGCGTTATTTCGCGGTAAATAAAGCCGTTCGCAGATTTTGCACGAGTTTTTTATTCTTAACTTGACATTCTGCAAACGCTGACTCGTACACTACCGTTTGGTGTTGGAATGATCGTTGTGCTCAATGTTTAAACACATAAAACAAAAAGCACCTTAGAAGGCGGCTAATTATTGAACTTTAACTCGTTCTTAAACACAAAATGAACGGGAAAAGCTATTCTTAAGTTGTGGATCTTGCATTATAGTCACAAGCAGCTTATAGTGAAGGTTTCGCTCTTGTGCTCAAAAGTTCAATTAACAGTAAATAATTAGTGCTAATTAGGCCGTTCTTAAACATTCATGCACACGGGATTTCTCATCCTTAAGTTATTGGTTATTGATAAATTTTTCGAAAACTATCTTTTCGCTTTTCACCGTGCTTGTGCGCGATATTCTAATTAAAAGTCACTGGGGGGGGGGGGGGGGGGTGTCTTTAGGTGGTGCCCCCTCCGAAACGCACGGGGTGTGTCACTTAAGAGTGACGGTTTTGACGGTTGGACACCCCCACCTACTCGCTGCCACCATCAAACCTTTTGTGCGCGATATTCTAATTAAACCTCAATGGGCTATCGGACTTCTTTAAAAATCAAGAGTTCCGCAAGGAGCAGTGCTCGGACCACTATACTGCTGACTTTACCTGCCGAGCAAGTTGACTTCACAAGTGAGACTATTTGCTGACGATTGCCTAGTATACCAACAAATATCACCTGACAAGGACACCTCAACTCTACAAAACAATTTCAAGTTGCTCGAATCATGGCAGAATGAATGGCTCATGAACTTTAATTCATCGAAGTGCTGTACTATCACATTTGCTTACCGGAATCCTCCAAAGAGATCCTACACCTTTTGTGGGGAGCAACTCACATCGAACACAGCTTGCTGCAGCCAAAACCCCGACATTTCTCGGAGTCATCAGGCGGAATATGTGGAGCTGCCCAGAAGAAGTGAAATGCATGGCACACCCTATCTTTGGAGTATGCAGTGACTGTGTGGGACACACACTGAGTGTAATATACCGTAACACTAGACATAGTCCAAAATTATGCAACAAGATTCTGCACACAAAAATTATAGTATAGGAAGAGGGAACAGTCACTGGAATCCTGGAGCACATCAAGTGGGGAGACATGGAAGAGCAAAGGAAGATACAAAGGCTATCAGTGCTCTACAAAATCAATCATGAGCTGGTTTACATCTCACGAGCAGATCACCTCAACTGCAACACAAGAAATACCAGGGGGCACCAACACAAATCCTACAAACGACATGCAACTAAGGAAGCCTACTGGAACTCTTTCTTCCCGAGAACAATTACAGGATGGAAGAAGTTGCCAGTGTAACCTGGAAAATTGACACTCTTGACATGGGGATTCAACTCGACACAAATAATTTAATACAAGACCATAGGATCTAAGAACAAGTCGCGAACTATTCTATTAAGAAAAGGATTTTAAAATGAAACAAACTTGAGACCAAAGCAGAAAAAACCCTTTAAAACCAAAAAAAAAAACAATGATAAAAACTACAACCAAAACCAAAATTAACAGTAAAACCAACTTAAAAAACAACTTAAAAAACCAACACAGAGCGTCAAAGTAATGGACCTTAAATGCAATTTGACCGAAACCAGGTGACTATAGCAGCTCCAAAACACACAGGGCAGGCGCTCCCAAGAAAAGGGGAAAGAGAGGAAATAACTCGCCAATAAAACACAACTCTCTTCTGTGCCGCCGGTCTGCTAAGTGAGGGGCTGTGGACTTACAGGGTGGCAGAGCACATGGTCTTATTAAAGGGGCTATTGTTCTAAGGGGTCATGTTACTGGGGAAAAGGGAAAAGTTAATCAGGGGTACACACTTCTATGAAAGGGTAGGGGACATCTAATAAAAAGGGGTGATTTATGCAGGGGAGCTACACCTATACTTAAACACTAAAAGCAATACAGTAAAAACTACAAGTTCAATTTGGCCCTGCCACACCAGCAAACGTCGTCAACTCTAGGACACTACTTGCATTCAAGGAAAGGGCATCCAAGCACTACATGGACAACTACATGTAAGGCTATTTACTAAGGTCATCTACACATAAGGTCAGAAGTTAGTGTGATATTCCTGAGTGAATTTTACTGACTCAACCAAAACCAGAAACATGCACATTTCGTGGTTTTCAGGACGCAGTGCCCCTTTAATTTCGCCTTAGGAACTATTTTATCATCTTCCAAAACTTGTTGGAGCTAATATCGACTGTCCATCCTCAAATTAAACATGTTAATTGTTATATTTGTATACTGGCGTCTTTCGACTTTCCGATGTTGTTTTAGACATGATAATGCTCACTTTCTTCCTTGTAAACAACATGCTAATTGTAAAAAGAAATGGCCTCAAGGTGTTAACCTTCTGTATGGCCCTTTATTGGAGAAGTGATATAGGATAGTGGCCTTGAATAAGGAAGCAATGAACATTGTTAAAAATTGTTTAAACAACACCTTTTAAAAAGACCGTTTG